ATATAATTACATTAAATTCTTACTTCCGCTATGTAGAGACTGGAGAAATATAGATTTTTATAGATAATTATATGATAAATATAGATATTTTATAGATAATTATTTGATAAATGTGCATTTGTGATAGCTTAGTGGAAGTATTTGTTTTATTGCAACTTAAGAGTGTTATTTTGTTAGGGTGGAGTGTCAACACCTGTCACGCTGACTGCATACGTTGTGATATCACTGTTGGAAAGTAACGCAAGTCCTAAGGTTAGTAACGCATGCGTGTTTACTAATTCTATCACATGGATGCATCATGGGTATTTTATGAGTCGTAGCTCAGTGCCTCATCCAATTTGCTGATCCCTATTCATTACTGTTGCTACGTCGGACAAGCGAAAATATTCTTTTGATATAGAGTACGGAAAATGTACCGATTGCTGCGATAACACTTGAATTGTGTTATGTYTTTTTTATATTTTCATCAGGAAAAGCTGTCTACTATGGTTTCCTTTTAATATTTTCCATTTTTTTGTTATTTCATTCATTTTTGTTATTTCATTCATTTCATCACTGAAATCATTTATTTTAATCCGTTCAAACACTCAAAGTTGAACTTGTGTGAAAAACGCCGAATATCTTAATCGGATGCAGTGTTGACTAAATGTGCAAAGCTGAAGCAACAAAACAAATTTAACTATTTTAATGTTCTTATAACAGAGTAGTGTTATAGTGAAAGCACTCCAGTGCATAATTTCCAGGAAAGATACCGTGACGGATCCGTATGGTAACGCAATCGTCGCTTATGCTCTGACGCTCGCAAAGCATCCAAGTCGTCAAGAGTTTCTGAAAAGACTCAAGTCCCAAGCAATAATCAAAGGTTTGGATACGAGTATATTAAGGCAATGATTATCTGTCAATCAGTGTAGAGAATGGTTTAAAAACGTTTGCGTCGTTCAAAGTCTAAGCTTAGGTTCGCGGTAGACTGTTAAAAAATTGCAAGCAATGAAAATAATTTCTTTAAACACACAAAATCGTGCGTAATTTGTTAACTATCGTGCACCAGATCCTCCTAAAAAAATTTTTAAACCTAATTGCAAAAACCCTGCCCAAAAGAAAAAGATTGAGCAAAGTTCGCCATTTTAGGGCCAGGCTTAGGCTTAAAGCTAAAAATTATGTCCTCCTCCTTGACTTTTAAAGACATCTTGCTTCCAAGTCAGTCCTCCGTGCATTTATTCATCAGTATCACGTGATTGGTTTTATTTTTAGACGGTATGATGCACTGGGAAGAGAAGCCTAAACCAAAACCAGTTTTTCCAGTATTTTTCTTTTGGAGACCGCCATACGTACGTGCTTCGTCGACTAATATCGAAATGACGTCATACGCGYTGATGGCTATGATTGGTGACGGCACTGACTCGAATGCGATAGCCGACGCTAGGCCTGTGGTAAGATGGATATCGAAACAGAGGAATGCACTTGGAGGATTTGCATCCACTCAGGTAATCAATAACTCAATCAGCTAACCAACCCACCAACTGACCAACCCACCAACCCACCAACCAACCCACCCACCATCCAACCCACCAACCAACCAACCCACCAACCAACCAACCAACCCACCCACCAACCAACCAACCAACCAACCCACCAACCAACCAACCAACCAACCAATCAACATATCAGACAACCAACCAAACAACATATCAATCAACCTATCAACCAGTCAATCAATCAAGAATCAAACAGTCAACTAATCCAATATTTGTCCTCGTTTTGATTCAACAGGATACGTGTGTAGCTTTACAAGCCCTTGCTACATACGCGAGTTACGTTTATCAGACAGGAACACAACTGAGAATTGATGTCGGATACATTAATGGAAAWTTTCGACATTCTTTCCGTGTCACCGACAGCAACCGCCTTGTTTTACAACGAGCTGTGGTAAGAAGTCTCTCAGTGTTAGCATGAACGAATATTATACTTGATACATCAAACATGAGTAGGTGGGATATATCTGTTTTCAAAGCATCAAAACTTGGGTTGAAAAGAACAACTACAAAACAAAACGAGGCATAGCCGAATTTTTGGGGGCTCCCTGCGATCTGTTTCAATTCACACAGCGTGCGAATTTTTGATGAAAAGCATTGATAATTTTTGTAAAAAGCGAGAATTGGTTAATATATACTTACAAAATGTTTCATTAGTGTGTAAAAAAAAAACATTTCAAAGGTAGTGGGTGTTTGTTTGTCAATTATGCATGAATAAATGAGTAAAATAATAACTAATGAGTATAATAATGAATAAAATAATAACTAATAAGTATAATAATGAGTAAAATAATAACTAATTGTAACTTTTTGCATTAAGATTCCAAAGCAAATTCTTCCAATGCAAGACATCCCAGTTGATGCCGTCGGACAGGGTTGTGCACTAGTTCAGGTAATCCATTATCATATCCTAAAGAGTTTGCGATGCAGGGAAAAAAGCAAATAAAATCAAAATAACGTTTATGACAAAAAACTGAATGTTCTTCGACGATTAACTTATCGATTATATATTGTTAACCATTCCTGTGTTCCTGTGTACTGAGAGAATTGAAAGATGAAGGTCAAGGTTTCCCATCTTATGTTTTTAAATAATATGTAAACGATTCTTTAGGCTGATGTCTTGTATAATATCCCGGATGTGGAAGAGCAGCCATCATTCAATCTATCGGTCAGCGTTCACTCTCGTCAAGGAAATGTCAGTACCGAGACTACAGAGGCAGGCGAGGAGCTTTGYCAACCACTTGAGGCGAACATTTGTGCKAGGTGGCTAGACCAAGGTGAATCAGGAATGGTTGTCGTAGAGATGAAACTGGTATCTGGATTTACTGCTGATGAGGAGTCTCTGGAAAAGGTAATACCAGATAACTACCAGGAAATAGATACCAGACTAGCCTCCTTCGCAGGCAACTCTACTCCGTGGGATTCCTGTGTTAAGGCAAAAAAGCTGCCGGACACCAGTTCTCGACACCAGTTCTTCTCGGTCAAGAATATGAACACAGGAAGACCAAGAAGAGAAAAATGTCCGTTCCCGATGGAGTAGCCTGCGAAGGAGGCTAATACCAGACAATAAATATTGATAATACCAGATAACTACCAGGAAATAGATACCAGATGATAAATATTGATACTACCAGGAAAGTACTGGTTTTCAATCATTCTAGTGCCTTGATTAAAAACTTTAGAGAGACAATGATTGACAGCTATGTTGTTATGTATTGTGCGTACAATGAATTCTAATGAGAAATGTTTTATTGACTTACCATGTTAACCCCCACGTGAAATCGATTGTATGTTACCAATAATCTTTCTAATGATATGCATATCATATTGCATCTCCATGAGTAATYAATAATTTTGAAAAAAWTTATTACTTTTCAGCTGATGAATTTTCGCCATCTTGACATGAAAAGATTTGATCTGGAKGAAACCAAAGTTATTTTCTATTTTCATAAGGTAATGGTTTACTTWTTCATTGCACTTTAACTCGTTCAAAACCGTCTTTTMTTCTTCYATCTTCATCTTCTTTCTCTTTCTCATTTTTTTCAGTTTTTACATTTTYCCTGCTTTTCTTAAATTCTTAGATATCCATACTTTAATAATAATCGATATTTTACTAAATCCATAGATAAAAGATACTTGCTTTAAATTTACAATTCAACAAACCAACGTAGTAAAGAAAACAAAGCCCGCTTCTGCCACGGTGTACGACTACTACGACACAGGTAACCCACACATAGTTGCTTGATTATGATTATGCAAATAATTCGCATGTCTTTTGTGGCATAGGTTTAATCATGTTTTAMTCCAAAACCATCCAATCATCAATCAGTAGTAGATAAGTTGTCATTTCCGGAAATGACGTCACATAAAAACTTCATTGTTTTTGCGCTAAGGATTATGGTCATTAGATGGGGAAAAGAGACTGACTGACACAAAGAAACCGGTTTCAACGAGAAAGAAGTTTTTTGAAAATTCTGTTCAATTTTAAGTGCAATTATGACCCATCAAAAGATGCTATGGCGTCATATCAATGCTACATTTTACGCATAATTCAAAATAGTGCAATGCATACCAACTTTTCTAGAACTAGCGATGCCTATATCAATAAATACAAAGAGTAGTTTCATAGCTGAAATATTCATGTTGGTTTATTTTTGTTTAGATAAGTCAGCAACCACTATGTACAGAATAAAAGATGACATATGCAAAACAGGAAATGCCGATCCATGAAGGAAATCTGCCATCGTCTTTCGACATTGTACTTGATACGTATTATAACGAAAGTATAACTAAAGCTGCACTTTGAACTACTTAATTTAAAAAGAACCTCACTGATTATACGACAATCTATTGTATTCTGGTTAGGTTTCTTTGTATATCGTGATAAGTTGTATAGTTTTTGCTTCATAGTTTTAAGTTTTTTGTTTCTATTCAAATCCTTAAAATTGCATGACAATAAATAAACACTAGATAGCAAAGGACTGTTTATTGAATTCCTTGTTCTCACTGAAGCTTTTAACTATCATTGAAGTGTTATAGGTTCTGTCATGTTACCCATAGTTGAATGCTCATTGGAAGAATGTCTATTTGATAATTCATGAGTTTTAGAACGGCTTTTATAAATAACATCTGAGCGTGTTCTGGTGCTTGATTATTTAAAGCATATAATGAGGAGTTTGATATAAGCTAAAGCTTATCAATCAAGTAATAGTTTCAATAATAACGTACTTAATGTTTACCGGGATGTGAAATCATTAATTTTGTTAAATATTGTTTGCATTTCAAAAATGTAAAAATTCYGTGCAAATTTTCGTGTCATCATTGTTGCAACATGACAAATTTTATTGTTTGAGTAAGTACCTATTGAAYAACTTCTCTTTRWTACCATGCATCGCTAGTTTTTCCTGTTTGAAAAATCAAATTATTATACACTCTATATCAACCTTAGCTTGTTCGTCATAGTGCAGAACTGGAGAATGTGAAGCCGGTAACTAAGGGTTTTGGGTCTAGGTAGTGACCAAAGCATTCAAAATGAGCGATCTGTACGAAAATTCCATTGCAACGTCACCTATAGGCCCTCGAAGTAAAACTCTAGCTGAGTTCGAATACAAAGTCATCCTCAACAACCTGCTTAAAAATCAGATGTACAAAGCTGTAGCTAGCGAAAATTATGAAAAGATCAAAGAAATACTTGACACGCAGAAAGATATCAACCTCGAAGCCCAAGAAAATCGTGCTTTTGCGAARCTTTTACTCGATACTGCAATCGAGAATGACAGCGACAAGATTCTTGAAGTACTCGTCAACAAAGGAGCAAAAATTGGTGGGATTCTTTTTACAGCTGTGAGACAAGGATCTTACAAGTCCGTTAAATGCATCGTTAAGATATTGGAAGCGCAGGATGGTAGTTCTAGTGAGTTCGATTTAGGGCCTTCTGACTGTAAAAAAGAAGGATTTATAACTCCAATGATGATGGCGATACAGTTGAACGATTACGATATCATGGAATATCTAATAACACGAGGGTACAAGGTACYGTGCTTATAATCACTGTTAATCTTTGCATTCTTATTCTTACAATARAATCACAAAAAGCCAATTATTGCTTTCAAMAAAAATAGACAACGGGGGCTTTTTCTTTAATTATGATGTTTTTTCCTSACTCAGTCAATATCATCAMGAAAGAGCACCCCAGGGAGGGAGGGGTACTCCATTACAACAATTGGAAGGGGTACTCCTCGAAGATTTTAGGGTGGATCGGAATATCAGAACTTCGCGTCAGTCTATTTTCCGGGATGATGTTTCAAAATTTTAGTTTTTTAATACTGATATTCAAAGGCAGATCAGCACTTGAGATATACTCATTTCTTTTGGTTCGTGTCATATATACAATTTAATAACAGTCGCTCTTCTATATATAAGAAAGTATTCCCTTGGGTAAGGTATACAATTCATACAGTGATGTATAGGAGGAACCTGGACGCTCAATATAGCTGTTTAACTTCATTAAAAAAAATTGTTTATTATGTTGAATTGTCATGATAGTTTTAACACTGTTTCCTTTTCAAAGGTTGAAAACTTCCACTACGTTTATGAAGAAGGAGTTAAAAATGACTTGGACATCGATCTCCTCAAGTTCACCCAGACCCTYGGGATCAATCTCAAACCCCGAAGGGAGAACAAGAAYCAATTTCCYAAAGAGCATAGTATTTTACTGAAGATAAACACATATCAAGCTCTGGCCAACCCACTGTACATTAGCTACATGTACATTCACGATAAGACCACTGTCAATCCTCTGTTTGAGATCTTTACGCTAAGCCGAACTTTGAGACTTCTGTCAAGGTAACGTGTCACGGGGGGTGGACTGGAGAAAGGGGATGATGTATGGGGTAGATTAGGGAGGATGATTTATATGGATCCAAGCAGAATTGTATTCATACTGTGTGGGTGATGTGCTTTCAATGGCAGATGTTATATGTGGGGTGCATCTAGGGGAAGCCGGCGGGCTGCATGGAGATTATGGAACGCTCTGGGATGGATCTAGAGAATTTCATCAAGAGAGATGTTGCACGAAGCACATCAAGGGGAGGGTCAGAGGAGGGTGTTGGGAATAGAATTTCTGTAAAAAAAGTGTCCGGTGCAGTTGTGTCAATATTGTATATGTAATATGTTCCAAACTTTGGCCGCCATCAATGATGTTACTCATGCATTCATGTCTATTTCCATAGTAACGACAATGAATTCAAAGAAGAGTATCATGAATTGTCTCATCAATGCGAAGATTTCGCTGTTGATTTGATGGAGCAATGCCGAACRTTTACAGAAATCAAAATATTAAGCGACATATTACCAGAATTTGAAGAGAGGAAAAAACACATCGAAATCAAGAAAGAAACGTCAAAAGATTTGGCTTTTTTGAATTTGGCCATAAAGGGAAACAATGATAAGGTAACAGAATAAACCAATCAATTGATTTGACAATCCATCCATCCATCCATCCATCCATCCATCCATCCATCCATCCAACCATAGATTCATGGATCGTACTTTTTGTAACATTTTTTCAAAGTTAGCCATGCTTAAACTGAATAATGCTTTAAAGCTTATTCTAATTGTATTT